CTAGTTTCCACGAAACTAACAGACATTGCCTCTTGACTAAATGATGCATATGCAATCAACCACAACAATGCACTTAAGACCGTTCTCGCATCTTAATCTCATGCATTTAATAATTCATCTCTTCAAGAATTACACAATGATTGCACATACAACATATATCACAACAATCAAGGTATTCACATCACAATACCAATCATACAATTACAAGTTATGCACACATATTCACAATGTTCTCATGCACACTCATCACATAATTGTATACACATCAAGCATTCACAAGTTCATTAAATAATACACACATAATCACCTATTATGTTCACATGTATTTATACTTGATGCAATTAACATTCAAATCACAATTCTAGGATTCACGCCCGTAGGCTACCCACAACACATATCATCATAATAGATCACATACATACTCAAAATGTAGAGGTATTAGTCTACGTGAAACAACAAAATCATCAACACATAGAAACCACAGAAAAGAAAAGATTCTGTCAAATTCGCCCATATTCGCCTGGCGAGGCCTCGCAGCGAACCTTCGCTGGACCTTCGCCTGGCGAACCCTCTCAGCGAACACTCGCTAGTCCTTCGCCTGACGAGACTCCCCAGCGAGCCAAAGTCAATAGCTACTGACTTTGTTCGCCACCATTCGCCAGCACTTTCGCTGGGCGAACATTCGCTAATCAACCTTCGCCTGGCGAACTCGCCAGCGAAGTCCACTGGGACTTAATCATAATTATTCGCCAGCGTGCGCTAGGCTTCGCCCGGCGAAGCTTTGCCTTAGCTCGCCTGGCGAGAGCCAGCGAACCTGCGCAGAACAGAATTTTGTTCTGTCTTCTCCTTCTCAAACCACCACCAACCAACTCCCAAACATCAAAACCAGCTCAAACAACATCAATACATGTTACCCGACTATTCTACGGCATTATTACTCAGTTCCAACCGATTAAATCACAGTTCTACCGATTATTCCAACTTTTGCCCTAAATGAAAAAGGATGAAAACTATACCAAAACCCCAACCCAACATATATAACATCATGCAATGATCAAATAGAAACATTTCTCACCCTTACCTCGATTAATCGGAGCTTTGATGTTGGTTCTTGATGATTTTCCACTTTCCTCTTCTTCTCCTCTCTTTCTCTTCTTCTTCCCTTTTTCTCTTCTTCTTTCTTTCCAAATGTTTCTCTCCAACTTTCTTTTCTTTTCCTTCTCTATTATATATTTCCTTTATTTTCCTTCCTTCAAATTTTCTTCTCAATTCTCTATTAATTCCAATTAATAAAAATTAATTTCCAACATTAATAAAAATCCCACTAAATCAATTAATTACTATAATTAATTATTTAATGAAATTCGGGCTGTTACACAAGACATATTGCTCCAATTCCATGTACTGAGCTCACCCGCTAAAGCCACATTGACTCAAGACTTCTGCTTCAGGTCCCATGAAACGAGCCTCCCTACTTAAACCCCTCTGGTTCAAGACTTACTACTCTAGTTTCATGTACCGAGCCAACCTTGCTCAATCAATATACTTGATTAAGACTTTCACAGCTCAAACACATAAAAAGAGACTTACGTGGCTCAAGCATCTTGGCTTAGACTTTCTTGCTTGTATCCCAATGACACAAGACTTATGCTCAATCAACCTAGTTGATTAAGAATTTTACAGCTCAAACACATAGCAAGAGACTTACGTGGCTCAAGCATATTAGCTCGAGACTTCCTTGCTTGTATCCCAATAACACAAAACTTTTATTTAAACTGATAAACAAGTTTAGCAGAATAGAGAATAAGGTGTACATGATACAAGTATCAGAGGTACGAGAAATCACCATAAGAAAGACCTAAAGCACTTAAGATTTCTAAGATATTCAATGTGTAAGAAATCTTAAGGCTTTTACAATTACAACCTACAACATAAATTTTGCATTTACAATTGTGTTGATAATTACTAATCATGTTACTTCTTCTTCTAGATGATCCTTGTTAAAGATTCAATTTGAACCTTCAACCATATTTATAGCCTTTTCAGAAACTATTCGTTGAAGAGGTAACTTGATCAAGAGGCTTTACTGTTACTCCATAGTACAAGAGACGTTGAAGATAAATACACCAGAAGATCTTGATCCAATGTGTAACATGTTTAACTTTTGAGTCTTCAAGAGATTATGTACTATTAAAGCTATTGAGATTAGACATCCATAAAACATCTCAGGTTTTCTTGAGCCTTGCAATCTATAGAGTCTACCTGACAAATTGATTTGATAATACAATTTGCTTTCTGCAGTACGAATAGCTTCAGTTTTATCACAAACTCTGAATGGTACCAGAAGCCAATTTGCATTTACTAATTGTAGAAACAATTATGTTGCTTCTTCTGATGCTGAGACCTTCAGCTTCAAAGTCTTCGCCAGACATCACTTAGCAAGTGTTCTTCAAATTCTGCCACTAGAAGCTAGCAACTCAACAACTCTCAAAGCATGCTTAATGTAAAACCAATTCTTATTATAATATTTACAAGTATTAGAACCTGCACACATATAACACACATCAAATAAACCATTTTTCTTTCAATATTTTGTTATCATCAAAATCCAAGGAAAATATGTCAAGAACAAATCTTGTTCTAACAGTATTGGCTGCTTGCCCTTCCATGTGACGCGTATTGACTCTTCATACACGTATGAACAAATGATGCTTCCTTTTGGACTGATAATCGTAAGTTAGTGTATTAGCCTTCTGAGATCCTTCATATGCGTATTGGTATCCTCATACGTGTATGAGAATAAATTCCTTGGCTTTTGCTCCTTAGGCTTCAACTTTTGCATAATGGCTCAGGCTTTGATCCAGACTGTTTTCTCTTTTTCTCCAAACTTATCAAACACATGAAAACCTTCAAAAAAGATCAAAAAATGCCAAGAATATTTAAAACACAAACAATTACAGAATTAAAGAAACTGCCCACTAAACTACTCAAACTGTACGAAAAATGCAGATAAACCACATATTTTTAATGTTCAAATGATGATGAATACAACAAAAATGGTGATTCATCAGAGAAATTTTTTCATCATACTAAAAAAAGTGAGTACACCTCTTATATCTCTGCATCTAGAATTAGAAAAGAACACTGAGAAATTTCTCGAAATAACACAAAAAACACATGTTCATGGTGTTGAAAGTTTAATTTTTTGTGTCAAATCATTATTTCGAGAAAAACTGTTGTTGTCAAAATGCTTTGCGCAGAAATTTGTATAGTTGTCGAAATGTTTAAGAAGTGTGTCTTCAATAGAATTTAGACTTAGCTTTATTTTCTTTAGTTAAGTTAGTTAGGTTAGTTGGAGATTGTTTGGTATGCAAACAATCTCAGCCTATAAATAGGAAGGTACCATTCGTTATAAAAATGCAGTTGTATAAAAAAAAGTTGAATAAAACTTCAGTTTGAAGGTAGAGAGATATTCTACTTTTTTCCCTTCTCTCTTAAACCCAAAACTCTCTTTTCTTCCCCAATTCATATATTTTTTCTTCTAAAATTTTTGTGCAGCGGAATCATCTTGCAAGCAAGGTATGGTTGATTCACTTGAGTGAAGAACAAAAGGCAAAATTGATCGGTGTGATTGATTTTTCTTGTTCGTCAAGATTGATTCACTATTTTTCATAGGTTTGATGTAATTCTAATATTGAGTATAACAAGTGTCAGTAGTATGGGTAATGGTCCCACATTGGATAAAAATGTGAAGACTTGAGCATTTATAAGTGAGAGAACCAATACACATATTACCTTGAAGTTTTGGGTGAATATGTGTTGTGTCTCTCACAAAGGTGTTCCTCTAAGAAGGAAGTCCCACAATGTTCAATGCTCCTTAGTGGAAAAAAAACTTTTCCAACAGTGATATCATAAGCCTTTGGTTCAAATGAAGGACTGACTCGCTTGTATCGAAAGTTCAAATATGTCCAAACCGTCCTCAATGGATATCCGAGCTCACACGTGCATTCGTCCTAATAGAATGCAAAACATATCGATTTTTTGATTTCGAATACCGAAACATGATGATGAGCAAAAGTGAAGTTGAAATTGAGAGTTTTGCAGTGAAGATGACATAATTTTTTTTATGATTTTGGTAGAAAATAAAAAAGAAGAAGATGAGAACACGTTTGTTTTTCTTCCCCACTTGTTAAATAACATTTTACTTAATAATAAATATAATTAATAATAATATAAAATGTTTATTTTTAATTTTCTAATGTGTCAATTTTTTTTATAATGTATCTATATAATTATTGTCACGTCACAAGTGAATATGTCAAATATACACTTTTGAAATGAGAAGAAAAAGTAAAAAAAGAGATAAAAATTATTGTTTTTCTAAATAGAATTTTAAAAAATGAAAAACTAAAACGGCATATTTTTAACGCAAATTTATTTTTACTATACTCAAATACAAATTTACATGATTTGGAAAGAAAAAGGCAATATGTGTTTTTGTACTTTTCATAGTAATTAATTTTCATGGAATTTATATTTTCTTGAAGTTTATATAGTGAAATGACATTGATATACATGGAAAAGAAAACAATCTTTTACTACTTCTTCCGTATCTTTTTTAGTGTTATTTTTTAATTTTTAATATATATTAAAAAAAGCTAGTTAATATTATTATTTTTTAGACAATAATTTTTTTATTTATGATATCTTTAATTACTTATTATATTTATTTTACTTTTTTTAAATAATTATACAGAAGTAATTTTGAGAAAAATGTTTTTAACCTTAAACTTTGTTAACAATTAAAAAGAAACAAAAAGTTATCTAAAAAATGACATTTAAAAAGGAAGAGAGTATATAATAAACAAAACTACACAGTTAAGTGATTATTAATTTATCATAAATAGATAAATTTTGCCTTCTAGAAACTACAACTAGTTAATGTTGTTGTTCTTAAATTAAACATTTGATGTTCCACTGTCTGAATTTGAAGAGATGCAATGGGAATCTCAACCCATCTTTTCAACCTCTTGCTTTTCATTCTACTAACTTCTCATTCATCTTTTGCCGAAATTTTTTTCGAAGAAAAGTTCCAAGGTAAGCTAAACCATCTTCTTCCTTTTCTTACTTAGATTCGTGATCTCCTAAGTTCTTACCATAATAACAGAAGCTAGCTTTCTAAGTATAGTTAATATTGATTTTTATGGAATGAAAATGAAGATGGGTGGAAAAGTCGTTGGGTGTTGTCTGATTGGAAAAGGAGTGAAGGAAAAGCAGGTACCTTTAAGTATACTGCTGGAAAATGGCCTGGAGATCCTGATGACAAAGGTAAAGTTGTTTTAATAAGTTCTTCAGAACAATCTCACAAGTGTTTATGTCGGTAGATAAACTCGAATAAATAAGTTCAAATGGAGCGTTAAGTGTTGTAAATTTTGATTGTTGCTAGTGTCATATATAACTTTTGCAGGTATTCAGACATATAATGATGCCAAGCATTTTTCCATATCTGCAAAGATACCAGAGTTGACCAATAAGAACAGAACCCTGGTGCTTCAGTATTCTATTAAGTTTGAGCAGGATATTGAATGTGGTGGTGGTTATATCAAACTTCTTTCTGGTTATGTTAATCAGAAGAAGTTTGGCGGTGATACTCCTTATAGGTTCCTCAATTTGTTTTGGTGTATTTTCCTTGTTTAGTTTTGAAACGGTTGATTTTGAGCAATGTCGACTGATTGATTTTGCTTAATGCAGTTTGATGTTTGGACCGGATCTATGTGGCACACAGACAAAGAAGCTCCATGTTATATTGTCATATCAGGGGCAGAATTATCCCATTAGAAAGGATCTGGAGTGTGCAACAGACAAATTAACTCATTTCTATACGTTCATTCTAAGGCCTGATGCCTCTTATAGTGTCCTTGTTGATAATCGAGAAAGAGATTCTGGAAGCATGTACACGGATTGGGACATTCTCCCTCCAAGGAAAATCAAAGATGTCAAGGCAAAAAAGGTTGGCTTGTATTGTGTATTTTTCCTTATTTGAGTATTATTTATTATTTGAATGTTACAATCCCAAGCTTCAAATTTAATGTTACTAATTATTGAAGTTTGGTATCTCAATGGTAACGAGTCGAGAAACAACTCAAACAAACATTCTTTAGGAGTTTTTAATTGAGATAGGGGATGTTTTGGTTCTTTTTGTTTATCTTCTTTCATGCGAAACCTTTTTGTTTCTCTATTGCAGCCAGCAGATTGGGATGATAGAGAGTACATTGAGGACCCTAATGATGTCAAACCAGAGGTACTTGTCTCCTTTCACACAACTCTTCCATTTTTTATTGCGTGGAAAAAACCTTAATGACCACCTTTTAAGAATTTCTACCATGGTATGGATAACTTTCATGTCCACGTAGCATCGACTGCAACTAATCAGTCTTCAGCAATATGCTTTTTGTTTTTGTATGCAAAGTGCTATATTTTCAATAAAAATCTATAAAAAAGTGCTATATGTGTGCAAGTCTAAGTGTCTTGATATTGCAGGGATATAATTCAATTCCAGCTGAAATCCCCGATCCAAAAGCCAAGAAGGTTAGTTTGTTTATGGCATGTTTAGATAAATTTTAAAATATACTAGAACATCTTATTTTAATACTAAGGTTACAACTATTGATGCAAGACTTAATTCGCACAGGTTTACGAAAGCTAAAGTCCATTTTTTTTTCTTGTATAATATTTTGTTTGACCAGCCTGTTGATTGGGATGATGAAGATGATGGACTATGGAAAGCCCCAAAAATTCCTAATCCAGCATATAAAGGACCGTGGAAACGGAAGGTTCTTCACGCCGTACATGTTAAAAGTTGAATTTATATTCATATATGCCTTGGATTCTAATTGTGGAAAATTGTTGAATCTCAGAAAATCAAGAACCCCAACTACAAAGGGAAGTGGAAGACTCCATGGATTGATAACCTAGGTAGATTACTTTATAAGCAGATGCCATCAATCATTAGAATCTTAAAATAGACCTCAGGTGATATCACAATGTTATATTGATATGCGGAAAAAAGAACTATTATTATTCCTTTTTTTTATTATTAAAACAATTGCATATGATGGTTTAAATAGTTACATTCCAACAATAATTTTGTACAATCAATCTATGCCTAAAAATCAGGAACTAATTATTTCCTATAAATGTTGAAATAACTAAGAACGAAAATAAGTGATATGCATCTCTAATGCTACCTGTGTACAAAATTGCATGATTCTGTCTGATATCCAAAATCTTCTACATTACTCTACACTCCCCTCAATTTGACACTATGATCAATCTTCTCTTTTATAAAATGTCGTTTAATTTCCACATGCTTTGTATGGGAACCTAGGTTGTCGATAGCGTGCTATAACTACACGCTATAGTAGTGTAGAGTATTGAACCGGACCTCACCACGACACTTTTGGGCTGCTAAGTGCTATCCGCGATAGCAGGAATAATGGCCGCTATTAGTGTAGTCATGGTGCCACTATTGCGGCGCAATTGCGGCTCTATAGCAGTTTGCAGACAGCTAATTGTGAAGATGAGGGTAAATTTGTATATTATGAATTTTTAAGAGCAAATTGGTATTTTTTAAACCTAATATAATAGCACAAGTGTTTGCTTTAAATCGTTTCACATGTTTTTTGCATTTCCCTCTTCACTCCGTGTTTGCGTTTTAGAAAGCCATCTTTGCAAAACTTCCTCGCACAACTTCTTTGACATTCTTCTTCGCAAATCGCAAGCCATCCATCATTTGTTCAGAATTATCACATTTCTTCACCTATTCATCTATTTCTTCACATTTCTCATCCATTCACAGTCTGTTTTGCTCTGTGCCTTCTCCTCTATTTCTCTTTTATTACATCATCTTCTGAAAGTGTGACACACTTCCAACAAAAGAGGTTTTTTTAAACCTACTGGTGACAATATTGACATAGGTTAGCAGTGGAACTCTTATAACGAGTTTGAATCAAGTGATGAGCTCAGTGATATTAATGTGGTGGAACTTAGAAGTGAAGATGAGGCAGACATGAATGTGATGTAGTCATTTTGTTTAATCCCGCTATGCTGCTATAACATTTTGGGGGTCAGCCCTTAACAACCTAGATGGGAACCTTGAGTTCTTCCAACATTCTTTTATCCAAATTCCCTCACAAATAGTGTGTGTCATGGCCCTTAGTTCAGCTTCTGCACTGCCCCTGGCAACTACTGATTGTTTCTGACTCCTCCAAGTAACCATGTCCCCATTCGCAAGAGCAATACCTATTAGTTGACCTTCCGTCTACTGCACAGCCTTTGAGTCTGAACTTTTGTACATTTCAACGTCCTTATTATGGTTTTTCTTGAAATAGAGACCCCTTACTAGAGTACCTTTCAGGTGTTGAAGGATCCTTCTTATCGCTTTCATGTTGGCATTTACGGGATTAGGCATATGGCGTCTTTCCATACACACAACAACAGGTCTAGTGAGTTGGAGAGTTATCACCAAATAAGGTTGTCTTTCTGTCTAGAGAATGTTTGACAAACATTATATGGTTTGATTTGTTAAGTATAACAAGTGTGAGTAGTGTGTATAATAGTCCCACATTGGATAGGAATGTGATGACTTGATTATTTATAAGTGGAAGAACCCACACACCTATCACCTTAAAGTTTTGGATGAGTATGTGGTGTGTCTCTCACTTGACATTGGGTTGGATGCTCCAAGACCCGGAGTTATTTGCTTTGCTTGAACACTTCTTCCCCTAAGTCACAATTTAGGAAGACATTTTTTATGTCTTCTATTTCCTCTGTTGGTTTTCTGACTAGACTTGCTCCTAAAATTTAGGATCCACTAATTGACTAAAATAAAACTGAAACAATAATGATAAATAAAAAATTTAATGCAGTCCAAAAGCAAATAATTAACACTCCTTGCTTTAGGATCTGTAAACTCCAATTTTCTGCCTCAATAGCTCAAACTTGCTGACAGGAAGTGGCTTTGTGAACAAATCTGCCCATTGATCTTCTGACCTGCAATAAACCAAAGTCACTTCTCCATTTTGTTGCATCTCTCTTAAGAAGTAGAGCTTGATGTTAAAATGTTTAGTCTTGCCATGACACACTGGATCCTTTGAAATTGCAATTGCTGCCTGGTTGTCGATAAACACTTCTGTCTTATAATTCTGTTGGAGATGTAAGTCACATAAGATATTTTTCAGCCACAGAACTTGATTTACGGCTGCTGTTGCTGCTATGAATTCAGATTTTGCAGTGGATTGTGCTACTGTCTCCTGCTTCTTTGTGCACCATGAAAAAACTCCTGAACCTAGACTGAAACAATATCCTGAAGTGCTCTTCATGTCATCAATGGATCCAGCCCAGTCACTATCAGAGAATCCACATAACTTGAAATTTTGACAGCTCTCAAACTTGACACCATAATCAACAGTACCTTTAATATATCTCAATACCCTTCTTGCTGCCTTTAAATGCATTTCACTAGCACAATGCATAAATCGAGAGAGAAGACTTACAACAAACAGAATGTCCGGCCTTATTATAGTGAGATACATTAAACATCCAATCAAGCTCCTGTAATAGCCTTCTCATCAACTTTGTCAACACCATCTTCCTTGCTCAGCTTCTCCTTTTGGTTCATTGGTGTGCTAACCGCTTTGCACTCCTCCATTTGAAATTTTTTTAAGATTTCCTTAGCATATTTTTTTTGACATTGAACACATCATCCTCATTTTGTTTGATCTCAATTCCAAGAAAATAAGACATAAGACCAAGATCTGTCATTTCAAAAACTTGCATCATTTCTTATTTGAATTCTTCAACCAACCTTGTATCATCTCCAGTCACTAAAAGATCATCAACATAAAGGGAAACTATGAGAAAATTTTTTCCCTTATGTTTTACATAAAGAGTGGTCTCAGATAAGCTTTTCACAAAGCCTATGCTCAATAGGTGTTCATTTATCCTACTGTACCAAGCTCTTGGTGCTTGTTTTAATCCATAAAGGGCTTTTTTGAGTAGATAGACTTTATCTTCTTCGCCATGCATAACAAATCCCTCTGGCTGCTCCACATATATCTCTTGTAAAACTCCATTTAAAAAGGCTGATTTGACATCTAACTGGAATACTTTCCAGCCTTATTGAGCAGCAACTGCTAACACCAATCTAATTGTATCTAATCTGGACACTGGTGCAAAAGTGTCGGAATAATCAACACCAAAAATTTGTGCATACCCTTTTACTACAAGTTTGGCCTTGTATTTATTGATAGAGCAATCCGCATTAAGCTTTGTTCTAAAAACCCATTTAACTCCAATGACTTTTCTATCTTGAGGCTTGTCAACCAACTCCAATGTGTTGTTTTTTTGAATCATCGAAATCTCATCTTCCATTGCCTTTTTCTATTTTGGATCCTTGAGTGCTTCCTCACAGCAACTAGGTTCACATACTGCTACATTGCATCTTTGATAAATGTTTGACAGCAACCTTGTGCCTCTAATAGGAGGGTCATCTTCTAATTCATCCTGACACAACTCTGTTGTTTGGTTTCCGCTATAATCATCTTCAGTATTGTTAAAAAATCCAATTGTTTTTTGTGGGTTTTTCCAATTCCATTGTTGATCTTCATTGAAATGCACATCCCTAGAAACAGTCAACTTTCTAGTTTGAGGATGATATACTTTGTAGGCTTTTGAAACAGAACTATAACCCACAAAAATACCCGAAATTGCTTTCTTGTCAAGCTTGTTGCGCTTAACATGTGGAACATGTGCAAAACAAACACAACCAAACACTTTAAGAAAGGTTAGTGAAGGCTTATATCCATACCAAACCTCAAAAGGAGTTTTGTCTTTCAAAGCCTTGGATGGAAGTCGATTTTGAAGAAAAACGGCTGTGTTTGCCGCTTCGGGCCAAAATTCTTTAGGCAATTCCTTCTCATGCAGCATGCATCTGGCCATCTCCATTACTGATCTATTTCTCCTTTCACTAACTCCATTTTGCTCTGGAGTGTATGGGGTTGTGAGTTGATGTACAATACCAGCTTCTTCACAAAATAGATTAAATTGTGTATTTGATCTTAGAAATTGTATCTTGCAACCACTTTGAGTTTCCACCATATTCTTGAACTTTCCAAAGACTCCAGCCACTTCATGCTTGAATTTCAAGAAAAAAATCCAGCACATTCTTGTAAAATCATCTATGAAAAGAATAATGGAGTTCTTTGAGGTCCTGCCGCATCAGTGTGAATGAGTTGCAGCTTTTGAGAGGCTCTCCAAACTGTTTTGGGAAATGACACTTTGTTTTGTTTACCAAATTGACAGGCATTACAATTTGGCAAATGATCAGAAAGTACTGGTAGACCTTCAATCATATCTTTCCTCTTCATGTTCAGCATCCTTTGAATATGACAGTGACCAAGTCGCTTATGCCAGAGTTCAGTGGGACTGACTTGAGATGTAAGTTGTCTGCTCCTCCACAATTGGATCAAATGAGAAGCTTTTACCTCTCATTTTTACCCTTAAAATCTCTCGACCGGTAGTGTCAAAGATAAGACAATGTTGATTTTCGAAAAGAACTTTAAATCCCTTTTCTAACAATTGAGCCACACTAAGCAGATTTTGGTTAATGTCAGGCACATACAGAACATTTGAGATTGTTTTCATACCTGAGCTAGTTGAAGGGTCTGAACCAACAATTCTTATTGAAGGCATAATTCACATACATAAACTTCATCGCCTCCTTGTGAATCCTTCAATTCCTCCGTGCTACCTTACAGAAGATGATCGTACCAGTGACACTGAGAATCCTGTGTTCTTGACCTGGGAGCAGCAAGATTCGCTGTTGTTCACCTGGTTTCTCACGACTCTCTCTGATGCCGTTCTCCCTCGCGTTGTCAGATGCATTCATTCGCACCAGGTATGGGATGAGATTCATCAGTATAGTTTTGCGCATACGAATGCGAAATTGCGACAATTGCAAACTGAATTGAAGTCTATCGCGAAAGGTGATCAATCAGTTGCAAATTTCTTGCGCAAAAAATTGTTGACATTCTAGAGTTGATTGATGATCTGATTTCACATCGTGATCAGTTGGAAGCGATCTTAGATGGATTGCTGATGAATTAGTGCCCTAGCTTCCATTATTCAGTATCGACCTATGTTGTGCCCTATCATTGAAGCATAGTCCATGCTTTTATCGCATGAGGCGAAACTGGACCGTGCGAAGAAGTCTGTCCTCACTGAACCTCTTTCCATCAATGTGGCTCAAGCCTCAAATCCTATGCACAATTCTCAACCTCGCGCTGTTTGTTACGGTTGATATTGGAGAGCTCCCACAATTAACCTATAGTATGTGGCGTATTAGAGTAAATAGAAGAGTAGATTAGTTTCTCTCATAATAACATTGTAACAGTCTGCTGAGTCAGCACAGTCCTATGGGTTGTGCTGCCTTTAGTTTCCCTATTCCGGATTGACCATGCATTTGATGGTTTCCCATAGGTAACTCAACAGTTTTCTTTAGTTTGTCCAGGTTTCTTGCAGTGATCACACCATGGCCTATTCTTCCCCTATGAAGGTCGGGACTTATTTCCTCTAGTCACAGAGGCTGGGTTTTCAACAACTGGGGTGGTCACATTGTTTCCAGCACTTCCCACATCTTTGGGAGTGGTATAATTCCAAGAACCCTCCCACGGACTTCATCAAGGTCTTTGTTGAACCCCAATAGAAAGTTGTAAATTCTATCTCAATCAGATCCTTGTATTTCTTCTTGCCATACAGACACTTTCATTTGATTTCTTCATATGAATCCAGCTGCTGCAAGTGTTGACTGAGTGCATTGAAGTACCCTGTGACTGAAGATTCACCTAGTCGCAGATCATGCAAGTGGCTTTTATTTCCAAGATGCCGAATGTATTATCCACATTCGAATATGTATCCTTCACTGCGTCCTACATTTCTTTTGAAAGGTTAGGATCACCTTCTTCTGGTAATTTGGAGTCTGTTTTCATGCTTTCATTTTGAAAGCTTAGGTTCACCTTCTTCTGGTTATTTGGAGTCTATTTTCCAGCTTTCATTTTGAAAGGTTAGGATGACCTTCTTCTGGTTATTTGGAGTCTGTAGAGATGTACTCTTCCTTTCCTTTTCCTTGAAGGAAAATACAGACATACATTTCCCGCTGGTTGATGTTTTAGACATTTAGTTTGTGGCATGCGATGCGAAGAGAGGGCCCTTCTGATAAGCTTGTAGAATCACATCAGTCGCTATGGTAAGGTCGGCGCTAAGTTAGGGATGAATGAGACCTTGCTATAATACCATTCAGAAAAAAATAATTATTATTCCTTTTTTTATCAAAACAATTACATAGGTTTGTTTAAATAGAGTTAAAATAGTCATTTTGTACAACCAATCTATGCCTAAAAATCTGGAACCAACTATTTCATATGAATGCTGAAATAACTAAGAAAATAAGTAATAATGCATTCTTAACGTAGCAATACAGGACAAAATTGCATGTTTATATGTCTGAAATCTATGGGCAGCATAGGATGACGAATCTCTAATAATGAATTTTTCTTTTTGTTTCCTCCAGAATTTGAGGATGATCCTGATCTTTATGTGCTGAAACCAATCAAGTATGTTGGCATTGAAGTGTGGCAGGTGTGTATCTGTATTTTTTTTTGCTTACTTTTTCCCTTCCTCTGTAGTGATGACCAGTTTGATATTGCTATTACCGAATATTTGAATTTTCAGGTGAAGGCCGGTTCGATTTATGACAACATCTTAATTTGTGACGACCCACAGTATGCAAAGCAAGCCGTGGAAAATTTTATGATTAATAATAGAGAGGTAACCAATTGCTTTCAGAATTTGTATCTGTTATTTAGTTTGTAGCAACCATCTTAGTGTTTGTATTCTCGTTATGCGTAAAACCTCAGGCCGAAAAAGAAGCTTTTGAAGAAGCGGAGAAAGAAAGAAGGGCTCGGGAAGAAGAGGTAACTGATCAATGCGTTAACTCTTCTGCACTACTCTGACATAACGCAGTAATCATATTTGATTATCAAGAGGCACTGTTTGATGCTATGACTAAACAGGAGGCACAAAGGGCAAAAGAAGAGAGCGAAAAGAGGAGGAGAGAGAGGGGCAGTAGACACAGAGATAAGAGGCGTCCTAGAAGGGTAAATTTTTTTCTCTGAAGGCGTATCTGATGTCAAACATCAATACATTTAGAGCTACATTCAAATATTAAACTTTTTCAAATTATTATCGGTGCAAATGTGTCAGTTATGTTATTATTATGATCAATTATTATTACACGCGATCTATGAAATCTGATTTGAGGACTTTGTTTTGCAGCCGGATCCCCACGAATACATGGACGATTATGAACATGTAAGCTAAAACTTTGCAATTTGTTCTTATTTGGATGTCTTGTTATGCATTATTGCTTTCTGTTATTCCTGCTGGAGCTGCTAAGAGTGAGCTGGGTCTGACAATTTGTCCATACCTCTTTGTCACTTGATTTGAAAATCAACCTTTTCCATATCCAGCTAAATACAATCATAATATTTGCATAAGAAAGACCCTACTTGGTTACACAAGAAAAAAAGCAAAAGTACCCTAAAATACAAGCACTTTTTTAACTTTATCAAATATAGACAAAATAAGAAAAAAGAAAACTAAGGTAAAGTTATTACAATTTGTATCATGATGACTCATGAGAGTAAAGGATTATTAGAATCTTAACTTACTAAATAAAATAGTGTTATTATATTCAGAGAGTACCTTGTACTTGTGACCTACCACAAATGTCAGTGGTAAAGTCTTTATTTGTTCAGAACTCAAATAATGAAAAAAGACAATATGCAATGATTGAAAATAAACGGCAATGACGGAGCATCATGATGATAAAATTAAAGGATGAATCTGATTTTCATTGATCTAATTTGATGTGCAATTCCATTTATTACAGGATGAACTTTGAAATGGGCAATCTGAGGGGTAGTTGGACACTCCATAACTTCAATTCAATGCCAACTATGAAGTTTGAAGTTTTTAGTGTTTTGTGAATTTTGGGACCTAAGTATCAATTGTGCACACTGACCATAACTACTTATTACAATTCAATCATTATGTCAACTTTATTTCCGTGTAAGAAAAAAATCTGCTCCCTCTGCCTATTATTATAAGATTTGCTTTTAAGATTCACTGGCTTTCAAAATAAGACCATATTTATAAATAAATAAATAAATAACTGTTTAATTTACTATAATTTAGAAACTTAAGTTTATTTTCTCTATGATATGATAGTAATAGTTGTGAGAGTGATTATGGAAAACTAACATTTATTGTTACTTAAATTTGGTAAATTGGTTTTATCATAAATAATAGATAGTAAAGTGATAACTAAAGTAATAACTTGGTTTGAGTTGTAATAATGATTAATTTTTTGTTTGTTTGTAAAGTTTGCCTTAAGGGGAAGGGCATGAAATATAGTAATGTGTTAGTGCGTGAGATTTTTGCCACAGTCTGAAATTTTATGTATCAAACTACCACAACATGAAATTTTTTTTATCAGAATGCCACAATTTGTATTAAGGGTCATCTTTTCATTGGACGATGGACGAATCAATGCTGTAAATTTTGTACATGAAAGGGCTCGGTCAATGATTGGTCGAACCATTGAAGTGGACTTTTTATTTTTATTTTTTATTTTTTAAAATATAAAAAACTTAAATAACAAATATTATAATTTAATAATTATTTTAAAAATAATTTAAATAATATAATAACATTAAAAATATAATTAATTTTTTAAAAACAAACAAACAAATTAATTGAAATTTCACAAAATTAATATTATATTAATTGAAAATTAAATTTAAAAAACAAACAAATTAATCTAGACGGGCCGATTTGACGAGCAGCTACATTCAGACATTTTCTACGCATATGGCCAATTTCTCGATAAATTCCACATCTTTTCTTTTCTTTCTCAAGATCGTATACTTTGGGTTCTAATTCTTGTACTATTTAGACGTTTTTTCTTATTCTTTTGTATTCTCTCGTCATGACAAAGAGTAAATCCTTCATATGCTAGCCAATTTTTATGGTGTGAAAGTCTAAGGAAGCTTTCCTTGTAGACTTTGAATACACTCAGAACCTTGAAAACATTTGATATGTGCATTTTGTGGTCCTGCCGTATACTAAAACATGTTGCGATTACATGAGAGCAAGGTAAATGAAATGTTTGAAACCTCCCACAATCGCACCACCCTCTCTTGAGATCAGCGCTAAAAGTACCTAATGACCGACCATCGTGTTGATTAATCCTTTCGGCAACCATAAAACAGAATCTTTCGCGATCGAATTGGATGACGTTATGACTGCTAGATTTACTTGCTTCATCGGCCATTCCCTTATTACAGTTATCCGTGAAAGTTTGACCGGATGCCAACATTTTTGTCCAATCATGTCCTCGTTTTTCAAATAGTGATCCCAGACGATAGAACGTAGATTTGACCACTGCAGTAATAGGAAGGTTTTGGGTAGCCTTAATGATCTGGGGTGATCAGAATGGATTGTCGTGACCTTCAATGTAGGGCAGCAACAGTGGTTGTAAGAGAGGAGGGGGTGTACCTGCAAGGTACTCCAATGCCAAAGTAAGTTTGGGCTAGAGAGAGAGAGAGAGAGAGAGAGAGAGAGAGAGAGAGAGAGAGAGAGAGAGAGAGAGAGAGAGAGAGAGAGAGAGAGAGAGAGAGAGAGAGAGAGAGAGAAAGAGCAAGTACAAGTGTTTAAGTATGAATTAGAATGATTTGAATACCTCACCCTCTCAAGAGAGAGGGTATTTATGAGACTCCCCCAGCGCGGGGCCAAAGTCTCCCATGTGGCCGAAACATCTGGTCGGCCAATGGGAGCTTTAGGCAAGGCGTAATCCAGTCCAGCTTTAGGCAAGGCCCAATAAGGAGATTAAGACAATATGACCGTTGGGCACAATATAGTCGTTGAACACAGCATATCTGTTGGGCGCAATATGATCGTTGGGCACAATATAATTGTTTGACACAATATAGCCGTTGGGGACATCCCTCTCACGCGCTTGATAGTTCACACGACCAACTGCCTCTTCGAAATTCACGGGGAAAGTTGAATCAGGTCAAAGATCAGGCGCTAGATCTTCCACCTGACAGTCTCTCATTGGTCGACCAGATGTTTCGGCCACATGGGAGACCTTGGCCCCGCGCTGCGGGAATCTCATAAATACCCTCTCTCTTGAGAGGGTGAGGTATTCAAATCATTATAATTCATACCTAAACACTTGTACTTGATCTCTTTCTCTCTCTCTCTCTCTCTCTCTCTCTCTCTCTCTCTCTCTCTCTCTCTCTCTCTCTCTCTCTCTCTCTCTCTCTCTCTCTCTCTCTAGCCCAAACTTACTTTGGCATGGGAGTACCTTGCAGGTACACCCCCTCCTCTCCTACAACTATTGTTGTTGCCCTACATTGAAGGTCATCACAATCCATTCTGATCAGCCCAGATCATTAAGGATACTCGAAACCTTCCTATTACTGCAGTGGTAAAATCTACGCTCTATCGTCTGGGATCACTATTTGGAAAACGAGGACATGATTGGACAAAAATATTGGCATCCGGTCAAACTTTCACGGATAACTGTAATAAGGGAATGGCCGATGAAGCGAGTAAATCTAGCAGCCATAATGTCATCCAATTCGATCGCGAAAGATTCTGTTTTATGGTTGCCGAAAGGATTAATCAACACGATGGTCGGACATTAGGTACTTTTAGCGCCGATTTCAAGAGAGGGTGGTGCAATTGTGGGAGGTTTCAAGCATTTCATTTACCTTGCTCTCATGTAATCGCAACATGTTTTAGTATACGGCAGGACCACAAAATGCACATCCCAAATGTTTTCAAGGTTCAGAGTGTATTCAAAGTCTACAAGAAAAGCTTCCTTAGACTTCCATACCATAAAAATTGGCTAACATATGAAGGATTTACTCTTTGTTATGACGAGAGAATACGAAAGAATAAGAAAAAACATCTAAATAGTACAAGAATTAGAACCGAAGTGTACGATCTTGAGAAAGAAAAGAAAAGATGTAGAATTTATCGAGAAATTGGCCATATGCGTAGAAAATGTTTGAATAACGACTTGAGGGGCTCCTATTCTGGACTATAGTGGAAGAGTAACGACTTGAGGGGCTCCTATTCTGGACTATAGTGGAAGAGTAATGACTTGAGTTAGCCTAGATAGCCGACCGTTGGGAAGAAAACGCGTCGCGAGGAGGCTTTTTGAGGTTGTCATTATTCGAACGAAAATCTTCGGGGACGTATCTGTCAATAGTCTATGGTTAGTGTGATCGACCGATGATCGCTTGTGGTCTTCCTTGGGATGCGAGGACGTGGTCGCGGAAGGGACGTTTTACGTTGACCAGATTTACGCTTAAGGTACAGAAAATATTTTGTCGATAAGACTTCTGCTCGAATGATATCTTGTGACTTGTCGAGGAGGATGTGCCCACAGGGAGCTAAAGGGACTTGTCTTGAGGAATGTGAAGGGTCAGTCTTGACAATGCCAACTGAAAGCTTCCTCATTTGACATGTGTGATGGAGTGATCAATTTTTGTTAAGGTCTAGGAGGTCTAGGCTGGCTAGGCAACGATGGCTCTTGCCCTTTGCGCTTCCCTATGCAAGCAAATGCTTATAAAAAAGGGAGACGAGGATTCATTTTCACACTTCACGCAAATTTCTTTCCTCAACCCCTTTTGCTCTGCAACAATTGTGGTCTCGCATTCTTCATACGAGTTCTCTTCGCCGTCGTCAATCCTCCTCTTCTTTCTTCAGATCTTCATTTTCAACCTTCTGATTAAAGTAAGTTCTTCATCTTTGCTTTCTAGAACTTAGGGTAGTTCTTGAATTTCTAGAAATTAGCTTGAATTTCTCGGCGAAGCATGAGTATTCCGGTTGAAGTTCATGTGTTCTTCAATGAACGCATGAATTTTCTGGGAAATTCATGAAGGCCTTGAAGAACATGAATCTAAGATGTTGCGCATGACTATAGATCTTCCTAGTTTTTTGTTTGAAATATCTTATGTTTGTGGTCAAGCAGTAGACCTCCTCGACGCTTGAGGATTTTATTCTCGCGTGCCCGATAAATTATAGTTGTCGAGGGGCTTGTCCCCTTTGGCGCCTTTTAGAGTCGCGAAGACTTGTCCTCGCTCATTGGGGAGGAGATTACGTCAAGTCCCTGTGTTGTCGACAAGGGCTTGAGTTGAGGATACGTCCTCGTACTTATTCCTCGCCCTTTCACTTGATTTTCGGAGGAAGGGTGGATTTGATCTTTGTTGTCGAATTCACTTTTTCTTCCCCTGCTTTTTAGGGGAAATGGCTGGTCAGAACGAAGAGATTTTCCCTGACGTGGGGGTAGCTACCAAAGAAGTTGTGCCTCCTCTCGAGTATGCCAATGTCAGGGTTGCTCAAGGGGATCTTACCTAGATTGTTCAAGAGCCTTTGGTGAAAAAGTCAACTTTCACCGAGAAGGAGGCTAATTCTTTTACTCTCCTCGAGGATCGGGCAGAGGATGCACCAGCAAGCTGGAAGGCAATTAGCCCCACGGGAAATGATCGAATATGCTCAGTGTATCTGGGGAGAAGGTTCCCAATGTACGAGTTTGCATTCAAGGAGGCGGGGTATCGTTTTCCCTTCACTGATTTTCAAGGGGCAATTTTCTGTCACCTCGAGTTGTCCCCTGCCCAACTTCACCCAAATGCTCTGGAGTTCATTTGGGCCTTCGAGCTGGTGTGCCGGTATCTGAAAATCGGGGCTACCGTGGAGCTTCTCTTCTGCTTTTTTCAACTTCAGAGGAGCACGGCTGAGTTGAAGCAAAGCTAGGTGTCCTTCAAACAACAGAGTAGGTTATTCTGGCCATATTTGAAATCTGTCCGTAATTTTAAATTTAGGTTCCTA